CAGAGCGATGTCACGAAAGGTCACGTTTCGGTTGTTACCACCCTGAGCTGGCAGGAGAGCACACCACTTTGAATCAACGCTGCTGACAGCAAGGGTGAGGTCTGTGTGCATCTCTCCTGCTGCTGGGCAAATCTCAGAGGGGCTCACCCTTGCCTCCGCCATCAAAGTAAGGTGCTGAATTTAAATGGGACTGGAGGCAGCCCAAGGGTTTATGTGCCTGACTAGCAGTGATTCACTTCCCAAAGAATCAACCTCTTGCTCTATGCCAAAAATAAAACAGTAGGAAGAGCACCGGGCAGCTACAGCAGTAAAGTATTTGTATTGCCTGCTGAAGAATTTGTGGGTCTTAGAGATCCTAACTCTCCAATAAAAAATTAAACGTACTCAGTGGTGTTTTGTAATGTGAAAACCTACAACAGCTGACATGTAACAGTGTGATGTATTACTCAAGCCCTGTAGGCACTTGGTGCTTCTTGTTTCAGAAGGAAACAAAAGTTGAACTCCCAACTACAGTTAAGTTTGGGGAATGCTCTGGAAGAATCACTGGCTTCAGAAGTAGGGTTAGAAAGAATCTGCAAGCACTTTAGTGCACTTCAGTGTTGGAAAGAAGCAGAGATGACTACAAACGGCTTTCTCGTGCTTTGCAGTTGTTCCTGTTCCCTTTTCAATAAACCTTGTGCAGCGCTTAAGAACGGGATGGTTGTAAACTAACAGCAGAAGCACATGCGTGGTAGTATAGCTTAATTTGGGTGAGGGGTTGAAACACGGCTTTTATTTCCCCCCCTCTATTGCGCAGTCAAGTACGCAGCTGCGGAAAACGGCGTGCGGGCTTGTGAGCCTGTCCTTCGTTAGCCAAGGGGAACCAGTAGCTTTTCTGTGGAACGACCCTCACACCTGCGACGTTCTCTTGCTGACTTTGTCCGTTCTGGCGGCGGAAGCTAAAGCTAGGCCCTGCTTCACATTTCAGATGTGTGGTAGCTAATTACAGTACACATAATCTTAATGAAGAAGTGTCATTAGTTATGAAATATGCTTACTCTGGTTTCATGGGTAGGAGCTGGAGCGCCCAAGCTGCAGAGGGCCGTTGCCAACTGGATGGCTCAGGCTGTGATTTTTGTCAATTACTGTGTTTTCTATTTACGTACCTACAAAGCAGAGATGATAAAATTTGTTGGTGTCCTAATTGCCTTGAGCTTTTAGCAAATATTTACGGCCCGTGTGCAGACTTTCAGGAGATGAGTAATTTCTCCATCTTGTTAAATGTTTTGTGGATTATTATCTCTTCCTGTCTTAAACAGCTTCCTCTTTCAGTCTTGAAAGCACTTTCCACTAGAATTGTTGAAATTTGAAATTAATGTTTTTATGCTAATTGTAGCACATTAAGCTCGTGTTAAGCTTTGCTCTGTCTTCCTCACTTCAGCTTATACTGATGTTTTTTTCCATAACACCTCTTGACATTTTAAGATGAACTGTGTAGATACCAAAGACTATTAAACTGCTCCCACTTGGATAAATGGGAGCTTTGCCATTGGTTCCTCTGGAAATAGGATCAGGACCTGGATAGACGTGTGTAATGTCTTGTAAGACACGCTAATATGCTTTCTGCATGAACAGATAGGACTCTCAGCACTTCTGAAGCTTGTCCCCTAGTTCTCTGTGACAAGCATGCTACCTACTTATCAACTGGCGACCGAAACTGTTCAGTGCCTTACAGCAATCTTAGCATTCTTTTGCTGGAAACAAACCCAGCAATGCCACAACAGCACTGACCAAGACTCCCAGTCACAGGTGCTAAATCGCCCTGGGCAGAAATGGAGACGCATTAAATCCACATAAACACCCAATGAATTCATAATGAGCTGGTGCTGTCACCTTAACAAACAAATGCCAGAAAAGAGCTTACAGAGGTGGCCAGTGCTCATTTTCTAGGGTCTAAATATTACTGTGACTTTGAATCAAATTCTACTTAAGCTTTGTTTAAATGGTTATTGAGGAGGTGGAAATAAACCAAAGAAAGTGTAAGACATTATCAACCTCATTTTCTGGAGTGCTAGATGTAGCTCTCAAGTATTCCTGATGACATGTTAAAATTATCCTTCTCTCAGCTCAGAATTTCCTTTAATCAGGGACAGGGTTGTCAAAGGAAAAGTTAATGTTGTGTACAATCTCGCAACTGTATTTATCCGACTTGCCCCACCAGGAGCATCCTGCAGTACCGCAGCCTTAAAAACATGTGGCTGTGCACGGGGGTGTTTGTGTGCCCAGGCTCTAAGTCTGGGGCTGCACTGACTTTAAAAATCATCTCCCTCTGACAGAAGCAGCTTGGCCGTCACCTGACAGCACCTGGGGGACTGTGGCAATGTCCGAGCTAGCTTGAGATCCTGAGAGTTGTAAAATGTGTACTGTCAGCACCACAGCATCCCCACCGTCAGATGCAGCAACAGCTAACTCAGCAGCTGAATTCAGCAGTAGATGGAGCACTCACATTTTTAGGTGCAGAGGTGGCAAACTGCCCTGCCAGTGCCCTACTAACATTCCTCCAAGACGCTTCCAAGTAGACTAACAGCAATGAAGAAAAATGGAGCAGATGAGATGGCAAGTGTGACCCAGACCTGTTTCTCAATAAATCTACATGTTTGTTCTGTTTCATCCTGTTCCTGCAATTCACCTTAAGACAACCGAAGTGATGCACTTTCTGTGAAAGCAAGCTCTGAGGACCTAACCCCAACAGACCACGTGCTTTTAACTTTACTAAACAAGCAGGGGATGAGAAAGTGCAACCCGTAGCATCGTATCCTGCCTGTCCTGTCACAAACTGACCAGCTCTGTTAGTAGAAAATGCGGTCGTTTGTCTATCCTAACTTGAATCCACCAGATTACCTTAAAGCAGCTTAAACTTGCTCGTTGTGACCACGGCAGGTTGAACGCTGTGGTTCTAGTTCCCACCAGGTTCATGGCACGGGCACTTTCAGAGGTCTGAACAGCAGCACAAAGGAAAAAGCAAACAAATGCTCTGTGCACGGGGTGGTGACCCTTCTCAGTTACAGCAGGTGTGTCGAGCATCTGTTGTAGGCAGCGCTGCGGCCTCTTCCTGCAGTATCACAGGAACATGCATGAGCTCTGGAGGATTGATCTCGCAAGGATTAGGGCAAGGGCATCTCAATGAGAAAATGAATAATTCCTGACTCTGATTATGATGATTAATTCTGTGACGTCAGCAGCCTTTGGCACAGCCAGTGACAGCCACAGATTCCATATGGGAAAAATCTAATTCAAGAGCCAAGAACCTTAAAGGGGAATTTTGTGCAGTTAAGTAATAATATTAAGAAATGACACACAAGCAGCTGTAATCTTATGTATACACAGAAATGTACGTACCTTCCTCAAGCCTATATAAGGCTTTGCAATGACATATAAATGCTTTGCATTTGTAACATCAGCCAAGATAAAAAAAAAACCAAACACCTGGCATTGTTGCTTGAATTGACCAGCCACAGATGGACTCCACTGTGGAAGTTTCTGGAGCACATGAAGTTGAGCAGAAATTCTACCAGAGGTGCCAATTTCACAAATAAGTAATCACTGTTGAACTGGCAGGCATTCTACTTCCCCACTTGGAGTTTGGTTTTGCAAAAGACTAATCCTCTATCAAGTACATAATTTCAGATGGGTGGGTCTTTGCTAGCACATGAAACTGGATGGCTCTACAGTTTCTGTTTTTGAAGGGGATTTGGCTTTCGGACAGTGCATTAACTGCTTTCCAGCTCTAAAGGTGAGCACTTGACGTGCACTGATCAGGTCCCAGCCCTCTCTCCGTACAGCTGCTTCCCTTTGCTGCCGTAAGCTGTGCTCTTTGTCAATTGCTTTTTGTCTTGGATGCATTTTGGCTCAAACCTTTTACACATTTGATATGAGAGGCATTTAGGAGGGAAGTACCAAGGCCAGGTTCCTCAATCCTGTTTTGTTAGGAAACGTTCATTTGGCAGTCCTAACATCACTAAAAATTATTCTCAGTAGGGTATGCTCTGCCAATATATGACCTTTAGCTGTTAAACCGTAGAGAAAGCACAGCAGTAGGTAATTCTATAATCAGTTCAGGTATTTGACAGATAACAAGAAATAACTCTTGCTTTTAAGCGTGGCATTTAGAAAGCTGGACTAACACTTTGGGTGGCTACCCCTGCACCTTGGTCTGCCTGCTGTTAAAGCTGCCATCCTCTCAGTATTCTGCTACAGGAGGAAACAAAAATACTGTCCTTTAGGTGTGTAGATCAGTAATTAACATGTTGACATTCAAATCAGAATCCCTACTGTCACCCCCTCAGGTCAGATGTGCAGATCTCTTGCCTTGTACCAGCACATGTACACAGGACAGTATCTGAACCCAGTTTTTTGACCACCTCCTGTGTTTTCTCACCTGATCTATTCATAAACAGGTGTCATTTCCCGTCAAGTTTGGTGTGGGTTGGTTTGTGTGTTTTTTTTTTTTTAATCAAGCAGGACAAAGAGTTAAAAGCTAAGCATGGCAGAAACCAGTTTCTTTGATCTAATGAGAAATTGTCTAAAGAGATTTTAGCAGCAGAGAGGATACACCAACATTTTTATTGCAATAATTTTTTTTATTATCTGGGGTGCACTTGTAGCCCCGTTGAATAATATCTAATATGAAAAAATGCTGGAAAGGTAATGTTCAAGTACATAGAGAACAATATTGCCTCACCTGCATAAACAAGGAAGTTGTTAGTGTCAATTTACACTTTGTACACAACCTGCTTTCCAGCTATTCAAGGGAGATCAATTTTTATGACAATTCATTTGAGAATGCAGTTGACTTCTATTGTGCAGGAAAAAAAAAAAATGCAGTCACCAACCCACCACTACTTTAATTTTGTGAAATCAGTTAATTACAAAATTATTGTAAAAAGTAACTTAATTTCTGATGAGCAAATAGAAACAAGTTGTAGAGTTCTCCCATGTTCCTGTATTGATAGGAGAAAATGGCATTGAACCATTATACTCAGTAACTCAAGGACAAAATTACTTTTGTTGTTTAGGGGAATAAAAATATTCTTGTTTTCTACTCCAGTCCCAAAACAAATATTGGTTTACACCAAAAAAAAAAAAATCTCACTTGGATTTACTGCAGAAGTCTCACACTCTTTAATCTCTTTGATATGCAAATACCTGATAGAGCTATCCCACTGGCGTGTACACAACTCAAGTGAAGCACTGCTTGGCTCCTCCCAAGTCTTTTTCGTTTGCCAGCATACTAAGCTTCATCTTCTGGTTCCTCGTAATGTGCGTACCCACTAGCATACGTCCTTCCTAAATTCAAATTGCTGAATACATCTGTAGTCTCAGTATCGGAATCTTTCCCTCCCTCATCATTGTCATCTTCATCATCATCTTCTGCTTCATATTCATCATATTCATCCCCCCGGTCACCTGCATCTCCAGCCTTGCTGGAGGAGAGGCTCTTCCAGTAGGCATCATAACCAGAAGCTCCATCTGCATCTTCACCTCCAGTCTGTCGGCCAAACTTCAAAGAGCGTGCTGCAGGCAGAGAAAAATCATCATGTTCCCACCCCTCAACAACAATGTGAGCTGAGCACCTGACGCCTTTCCCACCCTTTTTCACTCTTCAGCAAAGGACAACATTAGACAGCCTTTGTCTAAATCATGCATTTTCAGATTAAATCCTTCCTCTGACAGAAGCCTTCTGCTCCACACGGTCTGTCCCTCTGCAGCCCGATTTGTATAAACAATAGCTGCCCCCAGAGTTTGACTTAGATCTCAGGATAAACCTTTGGTACTCTAGCCAAGGAAACCTAGAACTGGATGTGCTTTGCAGACACAATATGGATTGTGATTGATTGCAGTACTTGAGGTAGACTGTATGCGTGTCATCAAATCACACTTTGAAATTCATTAGACAGCTCCTTGTACATGAAATAAAGGCTTAAGTGGTGAATTTTTTCCCCATTTTTCCATAACTAAAGTCTGAAATTAAACAAACTTTCACTGTATTGAATTAATTGATGGTTAAGAATGAGACTGCTCAATTCTAGAACCAAGAAACACTAGGTTTTTCTCAAAACAAATGCAGTAAAGCTTTGCAGTACAACTGAATCAGACTCTACTTGGTGTTCCTGTGCAGAGGAGTACCGATGGTACTTGTATTGCTTGTTAGCTAGAGAAACAGGCTTACTAGACATGCTCAGATCCTTTGTCTGCTGAGTTTCATGGCCACATTTAGGGCAGGGAGGCTCTTTTCCTTTTTCCTGCTTGAAAACCTTACTTCGCACGTGATCGTCACAAAAACAAGCCTGTGAGGTGAAATGAGAGTAAAAGAGGCTAAATGTTTTAATCATAGAAGCGTACTCTTCAGCAAGAAGCAAGCAGAAAGTGTCTAACAGCAGCAGCATTTTCTGCTTGGGATCAAAATTTAATGAGCTCTATCTGCAGTGGAACTGGAGTCCGTGCAGAGAGCAACCACTTCTGTGTTGAATGTAGTTTCATGGGCTCCTGGGGAAGAGGCTGGCTGAAAGTGCTGATAAATAAAGTAACATACTCAAGGACTGGATTATAGTCCTTCCCACAAGGAGGCTGACAAGCTTTGGTTTATGCTGACAAGCTTAAATAAAATAGAGATGTACGCCAGAACAAAAGTATGCAGTGACCTGAAGGCAAGAATTAGATTGAAATTTCACATACTGAGCACCAGGGTGCCACTGAAGGTATCTGGAGAAAGAAACAATTTGGAATATGAAATCAGGGCCATGGGACACCACAGGGAAACCTATGGAGGGTAAGAAGGCTAAGAGCAGTCATTGAACCAGCACCTGGAGAAATCTGAGCAATGCTGATGATGAAGCAGGTGGAACTTTTGTATAAAATTATTGGAGTGAAGCAAAAGCCTGATGTCAACAAACTAGTCTGTGCATGTGTAAAACAGGATTAGCTGTGGAGTTTATTTCTATTGGATCCAGGCTGCAGTGTTTTCTGGTCAGACCATGGCTTCACCTTTTGAAAAGGCCCAGATATGGTACAGCACCATTTTAAATGCAGAGAAAGTGAAGATTGCTTCACCTGGCTTAAGGATGCACAGCACTGACTTGTGGTTAACAGGCAAGCACAGACAAAAGCCCTTTGTTCCCCCTTAAGTCTGCCCCCAAGCTTCAGAAACGAATACAGAAGTGTGACTATTTTTTAATCATGTAGAGGAAAACATGACAAGGCCTGACACCAGCCTCGGAGGTACCACCGTAGCTACCTGTCTTTACCTTACAGCGCAGGCACGAATGCTGCCCAAGCCTGTTGCAGGAGACACCTGTTGGAGGAAATCAGTATGTAAAATCAGTACTTGGAAACCGCAGAGCTGTGATGTTTTTAAAACCTTGTAAAAGTATGTAATAACGTAATTGAGGCATTTATTTTTAATTCTCTGACACAACTGCACTTTGGCAACACAAATCAAGTCATTTTACCATACAGTACCATTTTACTAGATTTTTATTGTCGCAAGCCTAAGCCTCATTGCAATAATGTAATTTGACACAAAAAGTAAAAGTTGAAGTGGGGAAAAAGTTTTACCTATTTCTTGAGCTTCCAAACTTTTTAAAGCAGAAGTTTCAGAACCAATTTGATATTAAGTGATTGTCTTGCTTTTATTTTTCTCATGAATTCAAAAGGAGTGGTAGCATTTTACAGTCACCTAAAACAATGCCATGGTAGTGTTTAATATCTCTCTCTCATTTAAATGGGATTGGAAAACACTTAAAGCTTGCAAATTTCCAAACACAGAACAGTTGTGTTCTGTATTTTCTGTTACACTATCTGGAAATGTACTTTATTACACACAACTTCATATGAGGATCTAACAGCACTGAAGAATTGTAGCTGGCCCATGAGCTGCAAAGAGCAGAATCGGTGCTCAAAAATCTAACTTGCCTTGAGGCTTCCAATTGGTTTCTTTACTCCACTAGAAAGAGTAATGGCAACCACATAGGAACTGGCAGCAACATGAAGCTGGGTGAATAGTTACTCCTCAAGAAATAGTAATACGTATTTTATCAGTCTCTGTGCAAGTACTTGTTCCCTTCAACGTTGCCTTTCCCCTGTGACAACTAAGTTTTTGAATGTGAAGTAATAGATATTATGAGTTCTCCACACGAGCAGGACAGCCATGGGATTTAGCACTCTGTTACGGCTTCAGAGATGGAATGGGAAATGCTAATGCTTATATATTCAAACGTTTCCAGAGTATCTGCACTCTAAAAAACTTCTTTCGGATAGTGATGGGAAGTAACTGTATGTTTTTCACAGCTAGAATGGGATTTAGACCACAACTGCATGACTACATTTAAAATCTGTGTATTCTGTAAAAGTTCAAGTTTTATGATCTTGTAACCTCGTACTGACAAAAATCCTGCCTCTCTACCCAGACTGCACTCTGCCATGAAGCACTGAATGCAGTGAAAACCCTCAAAAAAAGCAACATCTCTATTCAGGGTGTGACATCACATCTGTGAACTAAAAGCTTCCAACAATCACTGGAAAAAAAAAAGACATTCTTGTGGAACAGCTGTTGCTGCTTCAATATTGCTATGCAGGAAGATATTCTGGCAGAATACATCAAGGGAAGCTAATCAAGGCTTAGAAAACAGTTAGCTGGGAAAAAAGGATGGGAGATGAAAAGGAATATAAGAGATTTCTAAAAGACTATAAAATCAACAAATATTCTGAATTGGGAGAAATCAATTAGGATGAGATTAATCAGTTCTGAAGGGAACAGTCTCATACATGATAAAGAGCACCTCAAATTTCTGTAATTAGGACTGAAAACGTTGTAATAGTTAAAATACACAGGTACAAGTTTTGGAAAAGAGTTGTCTCATGGGATAAACTAAGTAGTAGTTAATGGTGGGTAGAAAAGAAATACTTCTACAAAACAGTAGTCATTTCAAGCATGCATAGTCTTGGTCTGGTTGTGGGGGTTTTCTTAACTTCCCTTGAAGTTTCCTTGTTTCAGACAGAGAGGAGTAGTGGACTAGCAGTCAGGCATGGCCACCATGTCCCCTTACAAATCCCAGTCTCGGTTTTGTCCACGGCCTTTCTTGAGACTTGCTGCTTTTGCAAAATCAACAAATGTAAACCCTTCATCCAGCATACAGGCCATCCACAGCAACCTGGGGCAGTTTAGCCAGACTAACAGCAGGGGTATTCAAGAACAGGTATCTAGTAATAGCTCATCATATGCTCAGAAGAGTGGAAGTGAACTTCTACCTGCAGAGCTTTGTGGAGTAAAAAAGCAGCACCAGCAATTTTGCTACAGTCCTGGCCACTGCAACTTTGGAGACTGCTGGCTCCTGCAAAGGCAACTTCCCATGGGAGGCCTCTAAGAGCCAGGCAGGGAAACAACTGGCCAGTCTGGCATGGAGGAAGGTCAGAGAGAAAAGCTCCAGTATAAATAACTGGGTATCAAGAGCAAGCATGCAGGAAACAGGCCCTTTTCCTCCAGTGGTGGCAAAAGCTGTTTGGAAAAGGTGACACAGGGAAAAGGCAGTGGAGAGTACTCTGGAGCACAGAGGAAGCGATTGCAGAGTCTGCTTAGCTGTGGTGAAAGGGACTATGAATAACTTACATTTAAATGTCTCTGCTTCCAGAACTTGGCAGCTAGCTTGATGTTCAAATTGATCATCTTCACAGAGGAAATTGTGACAAAAGGAGCAGGCAAATATTCTGCCTCCTAAAGGATTTATCAAGGCAAAATAATCAGCAATGGGCATAGGCATCAAGTTCTGCTCTGCAAACAGTTTAGGCAGCAATTTTGACTGAAGACCAGTTCTCCCTTCTGTCACAAATGCTTCAACCAAGTCCTAAATTAGATACTGCCATCCACTATTACACTGAAAACCACCACATATCCTACAATACAAGACAGCACAAATACAAAGCAAGTATTACTTCTGGCCCTTTTCTTCATTTTAATTTGACTATGGCATTAAGTATTTTTGTTAAATCTCTTAAATTTTGTTAATTCTCTCCCATCCAGACTCCTTCCCTCCCACTCCCTCACCTCTGATGCACACTTGAAATAAACACTTCAAAGGGTCCACAAGTGGAGATGGGTATGGTTTGCTAAGCAGTTGGGACTCCAAATACCTGTACTAGCACAGATGAAATGGAGTGGGAATGGCAGGAAATAGCGTGGTGACAATCTGATGCAGTACTTAATTATGTGAAGCACTCAACTGATAGGACAATTAATACTTTAGATTGCACAACCATCCCCGAGTTGAGGACTGTAAGTTCTTGAACAGGTAATTTACATTCCCCACCACATAAGGTCTATTTTTAAAATGGGAAGAATGCCTTGCTTTGAACAAACGTACTTTAATGACTAATCTGTGACAATTAAAAACGGTATGTTGGGAATATAGGTACAATAACTTGAGCAATGTGAGGAGAAAAGTATCGTTTACATTTTCTTACTTTAAAGTGTGAGCAACCTACCGTGGTCCCAGACACTTCTTTCGCACTCAATACATTCTGCATCTGCAAGAGGGCAGATACATGCGTGTGTGCTGAGACACTTCCTCCCGTGACACACCCAAGCTTCACAGAAATCACAGATGGCACCCTGCAATTACAGAAAGATATCCTCTTTGGAATTCTGCAACACCTAGAGAGACACTCTTATTCCATAACCCTGAATGTATCCAAGTATCCATTCTCTCTGCGGGCTCATTCCAGTTGAGCAAGAGAGTATGAACTGCATCTGTATTCCAATCAAGCTGCTCCAGTTCATTTTGTTTGTTTGATTTTCACTTCTGCAGGATTAAATACAATGCAAAACAACTTGTTTTTATCCTTTCCTGTTTTTTACATTTCCTATCTTATGCATGAAAATTGGGTCCTTCAGCTGAAACCCAAGATCCATAAATGATAACAATGTTCTGGCAAAAATGTAATTTCAAAAAAGACCTGAAAAATGCCACTAGCTTCTTACAGCTGAAACCACTCATTTGGATTTTAAACCATGCTCTATTAGAACACAAGCTATGCAGAGAGCAAAGCTCAAGTAACTTGTTAGAAATGTCACTCATTCCCATTTTGATTAACAACAAGATCTACACATCAACTATCCCTTAATTGTAGCACTTAAGAAGCCTCCTCAGCCCTTATGTAACAAGCTACAGTGTGCATTACATGCCCAGGAAACTAAGACAACAATGTTGAATCCAAATTAATTGTTGATGGAAAATACTGCATCAGTGAACACATGGAATGAGTTTAGGAACTTAAGACTGGAAAGGCCAGCTGTGTTGCTGAGAAGCTGATGGCTAACTGGAGGCAGAAGCAGGACAGAGGTTTAGTCCACACAGCATTTAATCCACAGGTTATGACATGTCATACCTTGCTTTCCAGAATGGAGTAACTAACTTGTCCTTTTAAGAAAAATATAAAGGCCAGAAGCTATGACTGTCTGCTAAGAGCCAAAATGATTGTTTGCTTTTTAAATAAAATTGCCCCCTAATGCCATGGAACAGATTCCCCTCTGATGGTCTCTGCAATTCTGAGAAAACAGTAACAAAAGTCCACTGGTTTCTACAGAATGATCCTAACTTTTAATGGAGACTGGGAATTGGCTATGGGGCAGGTAAGCTGCGGTGCTGTTAATGCGCATGCTTAAGGCCTGCCACCAACCCTGGATCCGTTAGCATACACGTGCCGGAGTTTGCAGGGTTGAATCTAAAAATGCAGAATTTGAGCGTCCAGTATAAGGGAAAAATTAACTTGTGATGGTACAATAAGAAGAAAAACTTGGCATGGTACCTGCAATAATTCAGTTAATGTTTTATCTTTTCTCAGAAAGATGAAGCCTTTTTTGCACTATGAGGTTATTCTATGCAAATTTTGTATACATACCACCATTGCTAATCCAGTACTGTACACACCAGCATGTTTTATAACACAGTCTGAAGACTTCATCATGCATTTCGTTTTTCCTGTTTAAAAAGAAAGCATGCAACCAGAAGAAAAGTATATACAAATAAGAAAATTAGAAGGAATGTTCATTCGAGAGTAGTATTTCAACCAAATGTCTGTGCTTAATTGTAAATCTAGATAAAAGTCATGCAAACAAATACCTGCAACCCACCCTCCCATCTTCCTTAGATCAAATTAATTGCCTTTTTTCAGCAAAAATCTTTCCCTGGTACTGAGCTAATAAGGTAGCGTGTTGCCTTGCTCTGTTCTGAGGGATTGGCAAGCATTTCAAATGTCAGAATGAACCAAAGAACAAAATTAAGGTGAAAATCAAGCAATGACATCTTAAAATTTGCATTTAAGACTACTGCTAGTTCTGTCCTACCATAAAAGCAGCATTTGCAGTGTGCAGGGATGAGGCCCTCGGAAAAAAATCTGCAGCAGCTCTGAGAGTCAAACTACGAAACAGCCAAGTTGCTTAATGACAACTTGAAAATCTGCAAGGAAGTGTTGAAACAGCAGAACAACAGTATTCTCCTCAAAGCATGAAACCATTATCAACCTCCCCTGAAAGCAAGCAGCTGTTTAAAAAAAGAAAAAAGGGGCATTTTAGCCTGATTCAGAGCCATGTTCTGTCACTGGGAGTCCCCCCTTCTGATTTCAAAGCATCAGCCCTCTAGCATTACATAAATAACACAAGCAGCATATGACATTACAAAACCATGCAAGGTGAATAACGTACTGTTGCTTTAATTGATATTAAATTGCTCAGAAATTGTATTGTCCCTAAAAAGCAGTATTTTTATTGGTGCCTTGCTTCAGTCAAGAGCGTTTTTAACAGAGCTGCTGGTATGAAACAATGCTCTACATAGTCCATCTAGGGGAATGGTCAGTCTGATGTTCTCAATCCTAAAAGGCAGTGAGACAAATTCTTCTGAAGATCAAATACCGAAGGCAAACCCATGACCCAGACATGTCTCTGGGGCTCAGACACATATGCGTTAGTGTATGATCAAGCAAGATCTCTAGGGGGATATTCACAGCAGATTTAAAAAAAACTGCTCCAAAAATCACTAACTACTGAGAGTTTAACAGCACAAACAGGACTGAGGATAGCAAGTTTTCATTCATTATGTCTACTTACCACATTGTGCACAAATGGGTAATTTTTGAACAGCGTTACAGAAGTAGCAAAAAGCTCTGTTCTTCTGTCGCCTAGGCATACGGAGGGGTGGAAGAAACAAAGGCGGCAGGCATTAAAAGAGAGACATGTAAAATATTGGAAACCAATTACTATTAAAACATTGTTTTCAGAAGGGGAAAATACTTACCTTTGGCACTTATCACATTCCTAAAGAAAAGAAAGAAAATGCTAGTAATTATTTTTATTTTAGGTGTAAACCACAAAACTTACAGGCCCCACAGAGACTCTGAATTAAGTCATGATTAGGAACCAAGCTTTTTATTAAAGTATTACACCTCTGAGGAAAATGTAACCTTAAAAACAAAGAAAGGATGGTAGAAAGAATGACATTCTAGTGGCATTGAATGCAGTCAGTGTATTATTACTGGGTTTACATCATTTAAAATCAAGTATTGTATTGTAAAATACTTTGGGTTACTTTACCATTGAAGCATTACATGGATGTTTGGCTAAATCTATGTTGGCTCTTGAAGCCCTTATCTGCTTTTCACGTTCACGACGGTTCTCAGCTTTCTTACGAGCACCAGTCTTCTTTTTAGGCATTTTTCACTATCTGTGGGGAAAAAAAAATAGGTATGCAGTGAATGCACACAAAACTGTGCATGTAAATACACAGATACACATGACACATCCAGAACTAAAACTGCATCTTGGAGTTCCCATGTTAACTGTGCTTTATTTCCATTCACTTCCTTTTCTGAAAGTTTCTTTTCAAACGCAGAATAAGGGGCCAGTCCTTTAGGAAGAGTCGTGTGATGAACCATGAAGAATCTTGTGATCTGGAAAGGACTCTGCTGTCTTAAATTTTGTGCTTAGCTATCTTTGAAGTGTTTTGCCTTAAAAAAGAAAAAAAAAAAAAAGGCACCAAACCACAAACAACTCACTATGTTTTGTAGGTTTGTTTCTGATGGGTGTCTCTGGTTTTGGTTTGCCTTGTCTATTTAATGACACTATTCAGTTCATTTTCACTTCTCTCTCTTCTTACACTCATTTAAGTACTTCAGTTAAAAGCATTCTTCAGGTAAGCGAATAGTGGTGTACTGCAAAAATGCAAATTTTACACTTCCTGAAGGCTTAGCAAACAAAATGTCATTATACAGATTTAAGAACTATGACAAAGGGATATTTGTCCTGCTTACTTCTCATTCTAGCACATTAGCAATTAGAGATGAGCACGCATTGCTTTGAAGATGCCACTGTTTCCCAAGAGGGATTTACACTAATTTAATTCCATCTGGTTCAATGTGTCTGTCTAGTTTAACATTTTAGGAGGGAACCAATGCAATACAGTGGTGAGACCACCAGGCAATCGATCAGACCACTGCGCTCTCATCACCTCCACAATAAACTGTGTGGTACTCCCATATGCTGAGTTTGCTCTGTTTATAATAAGTTAGGCAAATATTATCCTGCCTTCATGATATGGACAGCTGAGAGATTAAAGGTGTAGTCTGATATTGGAATTTCTCTTGCCAGCACAGGCACTCAAGATGGGCACCCTTCCTTATGCTCCATCTTTAGCATGCCCTCGTTTCTGCTGATGTCACTGTTGTTGGTGCCACACTGCAATACAGATACAGGTCAAAAAACCCAAACCCACCATAACCCTCAAGGCCGTGATTAGCACAGTCTGATAGGGGAAGACAGTGAAAGGGGAGATGCAGCAGGAGTATTTGCTTAGCAAGCATGGGAACAAGAAAGCAGCTAAGGAAGAGGCAATGGACCTCTGTAGTGACCAAACAAAAAAAGCCTTATTGAACACAGGACCAAAAAGGCACTCCCAAGTCTGTGGCACATGCTGCAGCTGCCAAACCATACTTCCTTGCAGATGACAAGATGGCTGAATTTTTGGAAGCGTTTAGCAGTTATTTTGGTACCTCACCGCAGTGCTTCTGTCTGGACAATCTGTCCTCTCTCTAGCAAGTTGCCCCAACATACATTACACTATACAACTAACCCACAGCTCTCTTAGCTGCAAGTACACCTAACGGTGCCCCCTCCTATGCCTCCGATTTCTAAAACTGCAGAAATAAACTTTCAATTAATTGATAACTGAGACTCAGATGTCATCTTAAAATCTCAATCTCCACTTGCACTGGTGGAGTGCTGCACCCACTGGCCCACCTGATGGGACAGCTCTGCCCAGGCAAGGTTCTGCTGATTCCAGCAGCTCTGTGGGTGGCTACCAGGGCCACTGGCCTCAGGAAATGTAAGGTACCTGCTCTCCCGAGCCTCATCCCTATCTCCAAGCAGGCATGTAGATATGCACGCTGGCATCTCTAAGATCAGCAACGTCAACAGGAAGTGAATTGCAGCAGCTTAAACTTGAAAGAAAAATTAGTACCTTTATTCAAAAGGTCTTATAAAATAAGCCCAACAATCCTAACTTTCCCAAACAAAGAAATATATTGTCCTGACCAAATGCTAATATTTGGTTTTGATAGCACACATAAATCAGTTTTCTCACCCTGTAGCATTTTGCACCATGTTTAAATTGTATTAGTGTCATATTTTGTAGTCAAAATTGTATTGCTGAGCTGCCTGCTGGCAACTGTCATTATTCTAGAGCGTGACATTTCTGACACTGAGAGCTCAATACGAGGTTGCACACTAATTTTCAAACTGCTCAAATGCTGATTTAACAGAATCTAATGCTTAGTATTTGTACCTTGACTTCTTCACGTTACCTTATAATCGAAAGCGCCAAAATGACAAACTGTTTTCATGAAAAACATTGTCTCGATGACTTTGAGGACACAGATTATGAGAAATCTTTAAGATGGTAGCTTTTGGAAAGTTGCAGTTAACTAAATAAAACTGCAGTGTCAAGTCCTTCTAACAAAGCTATCAAGTCAATCCAGGCCTTCTAACACAATCCAATAAATAACACCCTACAGATCAATATCCTATCACTTCTTTCCCTATGAGTTTCCACCTAAGATGCTTGTTATCTTTGACAGGTTCTAAATTTTTAGGGAATTTACCATCTTTTAATTTTCTGACTAGAGCTTAACAGTGTTATGATCTCAGAAATTATGAAAGTTAAACCTTTGTTTAGCTGCAGTTCCTTTCAAACCATCTTCCAAAAGCACTAATAAGTATTTAAAATGCCTCTGAAGTATGTTCTGCCCCCAGTTTTGGCAATGCCTCTGTAATCTGAGGTTGATAGATGACCTGAAAATGTATTGAGGCACAACGCTTACCAAATGCTCAGGCAGCAAAGACCCAGTGGAATCTGTCTGCAGTCCAGCTCCCCTGCAAGGACGCATGGGAGAGAAAAGTGCCTCTGGAGGACCTAAACCAATAGGTCCAGTCACCAAGGAAAAGCTACACACTTCAGATCTACCTGCTGTAAAGATTGTGTGAACCTTTTGCTTAAACAGTCTTTTTACTGAAGGCAGAGACTTACAGCCATGCTAGCACCCTGCTTTTCATCTATGATGCTGCTGTAAGAGAAATTGCCCAGGACATGGTAGGGCCATGCTTTGTTCCCTCCTCAGCCCCAGCAGATATGACCCTGCTGCCCCTACAGAGCATCTGAGCTCCTGAACTGGGAGCAGTTCTGCACAAGGGTGGGTTTTTTTTTTTCCATCTGAAGTTTTCTACTTGGGAGCAAAATGCTCCAGAGTGACCTGGTCAGAGCAGCAGTAGGAGTCAGCGTGACTCTCTAGCTCTGTGGCTGATGCCATGGCACAGAGTTCCGATACCGGGAAGCTGCGTATGAGACAAGCAGTAGTTCAAAGGAAAAGCCCTATAATGTGTTGTGTGAGCGCTGGGTCCTCAGCACTGTGTGCCTCGTTCTGTACAAGTTTCACTTGCTCTTCCTCATGTGCTGTGTTATTTGGCAAGGTAAACACAGGCAAAGACAGAAGAGTTCCCACCACAGCTCCAAAGACTGCTTGTGCATTTACCTGATGGTTGTGCTATGTGAAATACATAAACAATGCCTGGCACCTAAAATTCTGTTGAGGTCGTACCATGCCTGTACCATGTTTCTTTCCCTTCCTGAAGACAGTCCTTGATAAGGTCCCAAAGACACGCACTAAGTTTGCAGCAGACGGGAAAGCAGATTGTGCCAGCAGATTTCTGGATCTCCTGCGCTGAGCACGACATTCCCTTGCGTCATATTATCTTCTCTTATGTGATAAGCTAACGGCCCTGCTGTCACAAACATAACGAACAGCTGTAATGAGCTCTTCATCTCGGGGGCAGGGGAACTGTGGGGTTACTCTGGTCGCACCATGCAAATGTTAATACCCGAAAGAGGCTTTTTCTGTATTTCAAATGTACTTGACCATCTTGAATAGCTTCTACCTTACGCATGTTCATCAAAAGAGGCCAGTAAATTTGCTGGGTCACATCTGATTCCATTCAGAATTCAACAGAATAGGTTTTACCACCACGTTATACAAGATTACAGTATTAAACCCCCCTGCATTAGCAGTGTTTCGTACTGAGGTCGTTCTGGTCCGTGATTCCTTCTAATAACGAAACCCTTCTGCAGGCACTGTGATTTTCATGACTTACTCCGTCTCTGAGTGAGGAGGTGGCTAACTGCACCCTGCGACCGCAGTGCCCGAGGGCTGCTGCGCTGACCCCGGCCCGGCTGTGCCCT